GGTCTCAGTGTTGGATCTGGTCCCAGTTCTGCTCCTAGTTCTGGTCCTGGTTCTGCTCCTGCTCCTGGTTCTGGTCCCATTTCTGTTCCTGGTTCTGGTCCTGGGTGTAGATCTGGTCCTGGTCCTGGTTCTGGTCCTAGATCTGGATCTGGTCTCACTTCTGGTCCTGGATCTGGTCCTGGTCCTGGTTCCTGTGCTGGTCCTGGACCACATCCTGGTTCTGATTCTGGTCCTGAATCAGGTTTCAGTCTTGGGTTTTGTCCTGGTCCTGGTTTGGGTCTTGCTCTTAGTTCTTTCCCTGGTCTTGGATCAGGTCTTGGTTCTGGTCCTGGTTCTTGTGCAAGGCTTGGTCCTGGATCAGGTCCTCGTCCTGGATCTGGTCTCAGTCTTGGTCTCTGTTTTGGCTCTTGTCCTGATTCTGGTCCCAGGCTTGGTCCTGGATCTGATCCTGGTCTCCAACCTGCTCCTGGTTCTGGTCCTCATCCTGGTTCTTGTGCAGGACCTGGATCAGGTCCTGGGCCTGGATCTGCTCTTGGTCTCAGTCATGGATCTTGTCCCAGTTCTGGTCCTAGTCCTGCTCCTGGTCCTGGTCCTGGTTCTGGTCCTGGATCTGGTTCCGGTCCTGGATCTGGTCTTGGTTCTGATTCTGGTCCTGGATCTGGTCTTGGTCTCAGCATTGGATCTTGTTCCAGTTCTGGTCCTGGATCTGGTCCTGGTCCTGCTCCCGGTTCTAGTTCTAGTTCTGGATCTGGTCCTGGTTCTGGTCTTGGATCAGATCTTGGTCTCGGTGTTGGATCTTGTCCTGGTTCTGTTCCTAGTCCTGGTCCTGGTTCTGCTCCTGGTTCTGGATCTGGTTCTGGTCCTGGATCTGGTTCTGGTCCTGGATCTGGTCTTGGTCCCAGCGTTGGATCTTGTCCTAGTTCTGGTCCTGGTCCTGGATCTGGTCCTGGTCCTGCTCCCGGTTCTGGTTCTGGACCTGGATCTGGTCCTGGTTCTGGTCGTGGTCCTCGTCCTGGTTCTGGTTCTGGTCCTGGATCAGATCTTGGTCTCACTGTTGGATCTGGTCCCAGTTCTGCTCCTAGTTCTGCTCCTGGTCCTGCTCCTGGTTCTGGTCCTGGTCCTGGTTCTGGTTCTGGTCCTGAATCTGGTCTTGGTCTCAGTGTTGGATCTTGTTCCAGTTCTGGTCCTGGATCTGGTCCTGGATCTGGTCCTGGTCCTGCTCCCGGTTCTGGTTCTGGACCTGGATCTGGTTCTGGACCTGAATCTGGTCCTGGTTCTGGTCTTGGTCCTCGTCCTGATTCTGGTCCTGGATCAGATCTTGGTCTCGGTGTTGGATCTTGTCCCAGTTCTGTTCCTAGTCCTGGTCCTGTTTCTGCTCCTGCTCCTGCTCCTGATCCTGGTTCTGGTCCTGGTCCTGGTTCTGGTTCTGGACCTGGATCTGCTTCTGGACCTGGTCCTGGATCTGATTCTGGACCTGGTCCTGGTCCTGGTTCTGGTTCTGGTCCTGAATCAGATCTTGGTCTCAGCATTGGATCTGGTCCCAGTTCTGGTCCTGCTCCTGGTTCTGGTCCTGGTCCTGGTCCCGGTCCCAGTCCCAGCAGGACCAGGCGTGACTGGGCAGGGCCCAGACTCCGACGTCACGTCCCCACGAATTTGGGGGTTGGGGGGGGTGTCCCTCCCCCCCCATAAACCCCCCGGTGGTCCCGTCCCCGTGAGCAGCTTCACCCGGGGGGACCCCCCTGGCAGGCGAGGGCGGATTCCCAGTACCCCCA